CCCCAGTGCTTTGCCAATGAACAGTCTGGTTTTAAGAGGAGTTTTAATGTATTGTCGAAGGCTTTCATGGCCGGAATCACTGGGTTATTGTAGGTTTTTTCGGGCTTTATGGCCATGTTCTAGAAGCATTCTCTCCTGACGTTTCGCCTGCATCTATGGCAAGCATCCTCAGCCCCAGGCCCTTTCCTTTTGCCCCTCAGCCGCTTAAGCGGGCAAAAGGAAGGGGCCTGAGGCTGAGGATGCTTGCCATAGATGCAGGCGAAACGTCAGGAGAAAATGCCTCTAGAACATGGCCATATATAGCCCAAAAACACTACAACAACCCAAAAGGAGTTTTGTTCAGGGGGAAAGCAACAGCAGCAGCAAAGAGTCATGGGGGGCCAAGTGCCGCAAGACCATTGGCCATGCCCACCTCTACTCTAAAGAAGTTTGCTGCTTGAACAAAAATGCTTGCAGATTTATTCTTTTTTGTAGGATCATGCAAAGGACAGGAATTACGATGCACATGCTGCCTTTAAAATTCGAATAAAAAGAGGCCGACTTGAGAAAAAGGGAAGGGCTAAGACACAGCCGGTAAAGCTACCTAAGGAAGCTTGCAAAGCTGAGCACACCCAATTGGGGGGGACGTAGGCTGCAGTTTTATGAAAAACACTCCCACACTTGACCATCAGAAAAACCCATCATTCTGCAGAGAAAGGCAGGGAAAGTCATAGGGGGGTTTCTGCCTTCTAGGAGGGCATGGGTACAAGTGTTACAACCAGACCCCCCACAGTTTCCAACCTTGCAGCCATTTGTTTGCCAGGCAGGACACTGGCCACCTTATTGTGCGTACCCTGTTGATATGTGATGGCACGGCACCCACCCCATTTCTGTTAGGGAAAGAGTACAGCTAGCATGCATGGCCCACCAGATGACTGACCCCCTGCAATCTCACCTAAAAGGCAGTGGTCATTGCTGTATGCCCACATTGTCCCTGGCCTTTCCTCACTCAACACACCCCAGCCTAGCAGTTAACATAGGAAGGCCAGCTTCAAAAGAGGAATTCTATGGGTGCTGCAGGTGTCCCTCTCCTCAGCCAACCCCTGGATTTGACCCACTGGTCACTTCCAACTTCTTCTGGGCCCCTGCATATGGAGAGGACCTTAGATCACAACCCAAGAAAAGTGGCGGCCTTGAGTGACCCAGAACATGGCCAACATGGCCCAGGGCATGTTGAGGAACCTGTGTTTTTGGGAAAACCCATATATTGCTGCCACTTTATTGCTGCAGACTAAATTGAATTCCATAGCTAAAGAGACCCCACAAAGCTCCAACACTTGGGAGCTGGAGGGGATCACTCCTTCAGTTCCACACCTACCACCACTCTTTCCACACTTTACTAATATCACCACTTGGTTGCTCGATTCTAAAGACTTCCCAAAGACCTTCCTCTATATCTATAAAGAACACTAATCCTCAAACAGAACAATCTGCACTCCCTGCAAAGCAAATGGTCCACTAAATTCCTCAGAAGTGCTCCATGCAGTCATTGGTTCTCAAAAAGGAGTTGAAAATACTACTGCTGCCTCTTTGGCCCATCAGGCCCAGTTGTGCATTCATTTGCAAAAACAGAGCAAATTACCTCTTTTATTTTGGGCACAATTCAGCAAATCTGTAAGTTGTACAGGTGCCACAAGGGGAGGCTTCTGGGGTATGCAGAATTGCTTTTTGTGATGTAGTTTGCCTCAAGGATGGTGTGGAGGTGAGGGAGCCCTCCTGAAAGAACACCCCCTCCCTCTCTATGCACAGGGTGGTGGTGCTGCTGGAGAGTGGACAGTCCCACCAGGAGGTTTTCCTCTGAACCCAGTTTCTCTGCTCCTGCACAACTATTTCCATAGAGATTAGTTGCAGGGCAACTTCACAATAGATTGTGCCCCCACAGTCCAGATCTGCCTCCCACGTTTATTGCACCCCAAATTTGCCATCTGAAGTGATCACGCAGCTACAACAGCATTAAGTCCTGCAGGCCTAAAGATAAGAACACATCAAAAACAGGTTTCAAACACTGCACTGCGTACCCTTTCATGCAATGGGGGGGGGGGGGGGATATTCTACTGGACCTAATAACAGCAGCAAAACGTCCCATGATGTTTTTGCTACAGCATCACTGCACACACCCAAACACACTCCAGCTGCTCTGTTTCCATCCCTCCTAAATCCTGAAGCCTTTTCCAGAATTGAAGTTATTACAAACCACCTTGAAATGCAAAACCACATTGTTTAAAATCCTAATTTGAAACCACACAGCTGGGGGCCACAACCCCTCGCCTCCCCAAAGTGACTCCAGAGGTCTACAGCTAAAACACAGGCACGACAAGTTATCAGAGGGTGCATGGCACAGAAGTGTGCACATGCACACAGGAGATAGTCCAGTTGGAACTGGGTGCAAAGAGAAGGGGGAAAATGTGCCATTGCCCAAAAGGAATGGCTCTTGTTAGCAGCAGCAGCAGCAGCAGCAGCTCCATGGTAATTCCATCCAAGAGCAAAGGAGAAGGAATCCGCAATCCTTCCACAAGACACAGCAATCTTTTTGCATGTTTGCCATCAGAAAGTGCAAACATTATTTGACTATCCCTTGAGAGACTAATGGGAGGTGAACCCATCTGTCTGCAGCCCGCAGTGGCAAAAGCAGAAGAGAATCCAAGACTCCAGATTCTTCTGAATTTAAGGAATGAGAAAAAAGGGCCTCCTAAGAGTACCCAGGATAGCAGAACTCTCTGCCAGTGATCTGAGCTCCAAGCTGTCCTTGCTTTGTAACCCTTCTATCAAAAGATGGAAGGAGTCTTCCACCTCTTTTGACTCAGCCGCATCTGACCCATCCGGAATCAGGGGTTTCCCAATCCCCAATTCTCAAGAGGCCCGTTTGGCCTTCTGTAGTTGAGCAGGCCCCTCTTTTCAGAGTACAGGCCTGCATTATTGCTTTCAGGGAGGGACCTGTCCTCCCTCTGCCCCGTTTAAAAGGGGACACCTGAACAAAGATTTCTGCCCCCCTCCACACACACACACACACACACACACTTCCCCCTTGGTCTCAGGGGTGAAGTCAGTGGACTGGGAGATCTAAGCTGGCAGTTGAAATTTGGCAAGAAAAGCATCCTGTCTCAGGGCAGTGATATACACCAAGGAGGTGGGAACATGCATGGAGAGAGGTACGGATGGGAGCCTGGGATGGGAAGACGTTGGGTCTTGGGCAGTGCTGTTTGGATCCGGCATTTCCACTGGCCAATGTGGACCTCTCCCAGCTGAGGTTGGCAGTGCTGTTGCTCTCAGGTCCCTCTTTGGGTCATGCTCACAGGAGAACACAGTCCCCAGAGACATCTAAACATGACTAAAGCCAACATGGATAGTCGCTTGCATGGATTTTGTACAAGAGCGACATGGTGCATTCCAGCAAGGCTGACTCAGAGGAATGCTTTGCCAGCCAAATGCCTGCCTTGACCCTCTACCCCAAACCCACTGCCACCTTATTGCTGTCCTTGTAGTTCCTTCGAGATTCGCAAGACGGGAGACGTCACCAGATGGCCTCCTGAGAAGGAGAAAAAGGGTCAGGCAGGACAAAGAGGAGAGAGAGGGCATGGCAGGTGCTGGAGACATTGAAAGCTGGATGGCAACATGGTGTGACAACAAGGGACGACAACCTGAGGTTCGGAGAACGGAGGAGTCAAGGGAAGAGACAGGAGGTTGGGCAGCCTGTTGCTTCCAAGCAAGGCTGGGCTCCACAGGTTCACAGCCCCATGAGATGGGAGCAGGCTCAAGGGTAGCATGGCTGAGGCGCAGGGAAGGACGGTGAGGAAATGCAGACAGACAGAAAACTGCCCCTTCCCAGGTGCCAAATCCACAGTGGCCTCATCTAATCAAACATCAGAATATGAGGAATACTCTAAGGTGTCAAAAATGTGATCATGAGATTTAGCAGACCATTTTGATGCAAAAAAATTTCTTACAGTTTAAAAAGCCATTTTATTAGAAATCATGCAACCTTTAATATATAATATATTTATATATATATATAAACCAAACATGAGTGCACTACGTCTTTGTGTGAATGGAGACCTATGGGTTTTAATGTGCCACCGGGGAGCATCCTGCCCCAGAGGAGAGCTTTCGAGGGGGTGGGATGAAGGCATCCTTGTATGTTGGGTGGCTTTTGTCCCCCTTTTCTCAGGAGGGGCATGATAGTGTGGAGCCCACCCCCCCCCCTCTCTCTGGCCCAAAGCAGAAGCTCAGCCTTGGAGCTCTGGCCCTGCCCTTGGTTCCCTGCCCTTTGGGCTCCCAGTTTTTCAATGAGAATTCTTCATGACTCTCGCAATGCATGGTTTTTAAAGTTTTATTTACATTTCCATCTTAGTGTCATAGTTTATTTTATTTTGCAAAGTGAAACAAAGTCGGTCACGCTCTCAAAGCCCCCTCTCCTGAAGGACAAGAAGCAACAAGGGGGCGGGGGTCCCATCCTCCATGGGGAAAGCCCCCTCTCTCCTTGACACAAGAAGCCCAGCTAGGCAACTTCACACAGACCCTGCCTCTTCACAACCCTCATGCACTTCCCAAGAACCCTCCTGGTCGGGGAGGGGGCCGGCCCAGGCCACCTTGCCCTCCCCACTCCCACAAACCCAACTGCTTCTCAGCCACGACTGAGCTTACTGCCTAGAACATCACATCCCAGTTCAACTTCTCTTACAAAATCCACACGCCCGAGCCAAATCCACAACTACATGGATTAAAAGAGGCACCTCTCCCCCACCCACCCACCTACCTATAGGAGCCAATGGCAAGTCTGGGTGGGTTTTGGGGAAAGAGGCGTCTGCCCTGCGTGGGAAATCAACCTACAACAGAGCCTTCTGAAAAAGCCCTCCCCCTCACAGATTCCCCTTCTGACCCAACAGCTTTGTCCAGCTGCAGCTAAAGGTGACCCCTCCCCAAAAAGAAACCACTCCCCCCTCCCCACTACACATCCTTTGAACTTTTTGTTTTAAAATTGACATTGCTTACTGTACGTTTGCTCCATCATCATTTCAAAAGCAAATGTTTAAACACACACAAAATAACCACCACACACACAAAAAAAAGGAAAAATAAAATTAAAACAAAAAGAATACAGTTAAAATGGCTGGATATGTTGATAAGATGCCAGCAGCACTGCAGCAGTGGTTAATGGTTCTTTTAATTCTCCTATGGCAAAAGGGGAAATGGGGCGGAGGGGGGGGGGTGCGGCATTGGGGGGGTGCGGCATTGGGTGGGTGGGTGGGGGGTAGTAGCATGAGCCTGCAATGAAGCGACAGTAATCAGCAACACTTTTGTCTTTTAAAATCACGATGAAAGAAGAAGAAGGGCAAGAAAAAGGGAGGAAGGTTCGGGGAGTTAAAAGAGTTCCAAGAAAGCATGAAGTTAGGATGCCTCAGAATAATACAGACCAGCGTTAGAGAGGAGGAGGCAGCGGGAGACGCTGCGGCGGAGACTCAACAGGACTGGGGGGCAGTGAGTGTGTTGGGGGCTAAGCAGGGACGAGAGCAACGCTCCCCTCCTCCCCCCACTCCGCTCCCACCAGGCTCCACTGTGGGCACGGCAGGCCAGGCCTCCTACACAGCTAGACCAGAAAAACCTTCCTTTATGGAGGGAGGGGGAGAGGGGGGAACTGGAACATTCAAATTTCATACTTGGAACCCCCACTGCCCACCCAAAGAAACATCACGCGAGGCCGTGGAGGCCATTTCTGTGCCCAACGGGAGACAGCGTGCCCGAGGGCCACCTCAAAGGTCCAGCAGGCCATGGGGAGCCAGGGTGGGGAGGGTCGCTCGGCCCGTCTTTCAGGGGCTAAAGCCGGTCTATGGGAGACGAGCTCTGCGTGGGGGGCGGGGGCGAGTGGGGGGCCGAGGGACAGAGTCACAAGCCTTGCTGAGACAGAGCGGCAGAGGTCTCGTCTTCCGAGGGGGGGGCCTGCCACGGTGGCAGCAGTGGCGGCGGTGGCAAAGAAGAGGAGGCGACGGAGCCCAGGCTCTCGCTGACAGAGGTGCTACGCCGAGGAGAGGTGCCACCGGAAAAGACTGGGGGGTGGTGGTGGTTGTTGGAGACTACGGTGGTGCTGTCCACTCCGTGGTCCGTGCGGGCCTTGGCCTTCTCACGGAACGTCAGTTTGTGGGACTCAATCTGCAGCGACACACAGGGGAGCGGGAAGACGGGGGAGTCACGGGGCAGGGGGAGAGAAGAAAGGGGCGGAAGGCGATACCAGAAGAATGTCATCGTTAGATGCCTGGAAAATAAAAGGCAATTGCTCCATTAACACAAGGAGTAGAAAGGAAACAAAACAAACAAACAAACAAACAATAAATAATAATTATAATAAATAAATAAATAAATAAATAAATAAACAAACCAATTTCTAGAAGTATCCAATGAGAAAATGGAAGAAGGGGGAAATTTGTGGCTCTCTAGCAGCTCATCTCACGAATCCCTGACACAGATGCTGCCCCATTTTGGGGAGAGGCACAAGGTGGTCCCGACCCATTCCCCCCCCCCACTCTGCCATTGGGAAGGCCCCTTTGAATAAGAAGGCAGAGTGGGATGCTTCTGGCCCCGCCCCCCCACCACCACACAAGACAACCCTATCCCCCCCCCCCCCCCCCCCTTGAGCTGCTACAAAGCCCCTTGGGCAGAAAAAGGTCCGGCACTTACTTGTTTCTTGTATGTGAGTGTCGAAGCACTGAATTTCCCTTTGGTCACCGCTGCCCTGAACGGGGGCGGCGGCTGGCCCTACGCCATTCTCCTGCATGACCCCGCTGCCTGGCGGGGGCCCGGTCACAGCTCCGTTCTGTGGGGCTGCCTCCTCACCCCCCTCAGTCTAAAATGAAACAATGGGGTGGGGGAGGACAATGAGGCGTCAATACGAGGATGGGAATGGGATGGGGTGAGATGAAGCAGGCAGGCAGGCGAGCGGAGGCCGGGCGGCTCCTCATCGGGGTCACCGAGACACAGGCTCTTTTCGAGGGAGGGGGCCGTTCCTTGGGATAACCCATCCCTGCTGCTCTGCATCCCTGGTGCCTCCTGCCTGCACCAAGCCCTTCCTTGCTAGACTTCTGCATCACCGCTGGTGCGGCCACATCCTTTCCCCAGTGAAGAGAGGATTCAGCCCTGCGTCTTGTCAATATTCTTCACTTCCAACCCTGCCTCTTTCACCACTCATCCAGCCCAGCTTCCTGTCCTCACATTCCACACTTCCTGCCCAAGGCTACCTGGCTCAACCACACAAAAGTTCCACATGTGGTCACAATTACTTATTTATTTAAAACTTTTATACCCAGATCTTCTCTACCTCCATAGAGGGACTCAGACCAGCTAACAACAGAAAATCAGTACACAAATACAACTAAAAACATAATAGAAGCATAATAAGTTAAAATACAAACTAAATAAATACATATAAGCCCAATCGCCAAGATAAAATCACATTCATATCAATCCGCCAGTGTGGCCACTAGTTATTACTTCACTTCACTTTATTTCTTACTTAGTCGCTCTCCACCAAGGTGCTCCGAGCGACTTACAGTCTAAAATAGCATTTACACAATATAAAAACATTCAACATAAAAACATTCAACATTGGCTATTTGGCAAATGCACAACCAAACAGCCAAAGTCTTGAGTGCCTTTACAAAAGGTCGCAACTCCTAGATTATTGCTGAACCCAACCAATTATTCTGGGAATGCTCCGTCCCAGAGCCAGGATTTCACTAGCTTCCTGAAGGTCAGGAGGGAAGGGGCAGATCTAATCTCCTTCGGGAGAGAGTTCCACAGCCAAGGGGCCACCACCAAGAAAGCCCTGTCTCTCGTCCCCACCAAAATGTGGTGGGACCGAGAGTAGGGCCCCTCCAGAAGATCTTAGCAACCTCAATGGTTTATAGGGGAGAATCCGTTCAGACAGGTAAACTGGGCCAACACCAGCACTTTGTAGGCCAACACCAGCACTTTGAATAACACAGACTCAGTGCACACAGAATTCTAGTGTTGGGGCCATCCAATCCAACCCCTTGTCATGCAGGAAGATATTGCCACCCTATGGCCATCTAGCCTCTGCTTAAAAACCTCCAAAGAAAAGGCCCCAGTGGATTCCCAAGCAATGTGTTCCATATGACGCAAAAATGCCAGGATCCCTTTGCAACTCTGCAGAGGATGCCAGGATGAGTGTGTGAAAGCCAAGAGTCATGTCCAGCATCCCACACAAAATATGGGGGAGCTCTCCTTTCCAGCCATGCACCATGCACCCACTTTGCAGGACAGTGGTTCTCAACCTGTGTGTCCCCAGGTGTTTTGGCCTACAATTCCCAGGAATCCCAGCCAGTTTACCAGCTTGTTAGGATTTCTGGGAGTTGAAGTCCAAAAACATCTGGGGACCCCAGGTTGAGAACCACTGTTGTAGGAGTTAAGAGGCTGTGAGAAACCCAGACTTCAGGCAACACTTTGGCCTATGCTATGAGTCTGCTGCTGGGCTATCTCTTTTTCCCTTTTGTGTTCCCACCTTGCTCCAGACCTACATTCTTCAACAACGCAAGGGATAGTCTGTTCCTCCACCCCATGGACCTTTAGCAGTCTCCTTCTACTGGGCCAAAAAACCGAGATGCACAGTATATCTACTGTGGGAAAGGGAGGGAGCTTCTCCTCCATCTTCTCCAATTGCGTTAATATTTGCCCCCACCTACAACATGCCCCTTATGCTCCCACCCTCATGGGCAATTTTGAAATTGGCTGGGGAAACTTATGGGGATGGAGAGGAGAATCGAGTATGGCAAGCACTTCTCTAGATATTATTCCAGCCTTTAAAATATGTTTTTGTCCGTGCTCCTAATCAACACATTTAATATTTTGCATGTTTTTACCTATTCTTCCTCACCTTGAGGACCTTGGTGGGCTGGGACACAATCTATATTCCAACCAGAGGGGCGGGGACAGGCCTGTGGTCGTAATCCATTGAAACTGCCACTAGCTTCCATTTTCCATACAGTGCTTAAAGTGAATCTGCTGACCCCACTCCTGCTCCCCTGCCTGAAAACCCATTCAGAACCCTCCTTCATGTGGCACCATGGAAATGGACATGAAAGTGTCAATGGGTGACAAAAGGACTGACAAGTGGCCACACACGGTAAGGGGAGGAGCAGGGAGAGGACCCATGCTGGACGCTGCCCGACATGTACCTTCACTGTGCCCCCAGCTGGGATGTGCCCCACGTTGTCCAGGGAGCCCACTTTGGCCTGGGCCTTCTCCTTGAAGTTCAACTTCTGGTTTTCAATCTTCACGTCTCCACCTCCTGGAACAAACAAAGGACACGATTCTTCCTGGGGACAGGACCATGTGATGTGAAAGGACACCTTTTCTCAGCGTCAGAGAAAGACACAGGCAAACTCCTTCTGAACAAACCTTGCCAAGAAAGTCTTATGTCACCATAAGCTGGAAATAACTTGAAGGCAGATAAGAAGAATAAGGTTCACGTAAACGTATAACCTGGACACAAGCTGTATAAGAATGTAAAAGTAATAACCATCATTTTAAATTGAAATTAGGACCATTAACATCAAGGCTTGAGATGAAACTGATGTAGCAGCCATAATTGCAAAAATCACAGTTAAAAGGAACATGGGATTAGAAAAACCTATTATTTTGCAACTCAGAAAAGAAAAACGTGACATAATCGAATCCTTGAATTGTCAGGTTGGAAGGAGGGAGGTCATGTGTCAGACCACAGTTTCTCAGACTTTCTTATATGGGGGACCAGAAACTATTCTCTTTCAACTACAGCTATTCTTTTCTTTCCTGGAAATTCACCCAGGACCAGGGCCAATGGCACTAGTGTGAGGACCGTCACTGTGAGCAACAGCAATCTAGACCAGGGCTTCTCAGGATATCTGATGTGGAAAATTGGCATTTTTCCCCCTCCAAAGTGTCATGGACCAGAACCTTGTTTGGCTACAACTGTTTCTTTCTTTCTAGGAGAATTGCTGTGGATCAGGGACCACCATTTTGGGCAGCACTGATCTAGAACAACCTCTTGCCAATGTTGAAAATCCATGGCAAAAGATGGCCATCCAATTTTTGAGTAAAAGTGAAGGAGAGCCCGCCACAGTCTGTTTCATTGTCCAATCGCTCTTGCTGTCGGTTTCCCCCCCCCCCCACCCCCCAAATACTTAGTCAGGATCTATTATAGAATCATAGAATCAAAGAGTTGGAAGAGACCTCATGGGCCATCCAGTCAACCCCATTCTGCCAAGAAGCAGAAATATTGCATTCAAAGCACCCCTGACAGATGGCCATCCAGCCTCTGTTTAAAAGCTTCCAAAGAAGGAGCTTCCACCACGCAGAGAGTTCCACTGCTGAACGGCTCTCACAGTCAGGAAGTTCTTCCTCATGTTCAGATGAAATCTCCTTTCTTGTCGTTTGAAGCCATTGTTCCTTGTCCTAATCTCCATGGAAGCAGAAAACAAGCTTGCTCCCTCCTCCCTATGACTTTCTCTCACATATTTATAAATGGCTCTCATCATGTCTCCTCTCAGCCTTCTCTTCTTCAGGCTAAACATGCCCAGCTCCTTAAGCTGCACCTCATAGGGCTTGTTCTCCAGACCCTTGATCATTTTAGAATTTGGTTCACTGGTTCAGGTCTTGGTTTCTGGAGCAGCCAAAAACAAGCTTGCTCCAACTACATGAAGTCCCTTTGGACAGAACTATCATGTCACCCTTCTGTTTTCTCTTCCCCAAACTCCCTCCAAGGTTCAGTTTCCAGACCTTTTCAGAGTGGTATAACATTGATACGAAGTATTTCTCCCTTCTTCACAATACTGGAACCCAGTGAGATCTTCCAATGGCGGGGAATTTGAGACAAATAAAGAGGATTCCATTGCACTGTGTACAATTAAAACAAACATTATATGGATGGCTGTAGAGTCAGGGAGAACCCAGGTATCTCTCTGACCTCCACGGCTCATTCTCTCTATGTCTTACCTGGCTTATGTTTGATATTTGCCTTTGAGCCACATTTTGAGGACACTTTAGAAAGATCAATTTTCTTGTTTAGAATCTGCACCTGCAGAACAAGAGGAAGGGAAAACAAAAAGCAAAATATCTCAGGAGCAAGCAGTGCCAGGAACTCCGTAGAAGTTATAAGGCTCCGGGTGTTTGTGCCTCCACCGTCCCAGTGCCCTCTTCTCCTCTCCGGGCTGCAGGCTGACGAGGCAAGGAGCCCTGCCATTCCAGGAGATGGGGGAAAACATGGCAGCTGAGTGAATGGGTGGGAGGGGGTCCAAGCAGACAGACGACTGGGCTTCTCAAAGTCCCGTCAACATCAAAAGTTAGTGTAATGCATAAAAGCAGAGGCAGGAACGCAGCCATAAAGACAAGGAAGTGTCTTAGCAGTGGCTTCAGACATCATATGTCACACTAGTAGGTGCAGAATGAATTATTATCAGCAAATAATAATAATAATAATAATAATAATAACAACAGCAGCAGCAGCTAACACTCCCTGGGGCTCCACTAACAGCCCAGGAGATTTGATGCATTTTAAAAGTTAGAAACTGGTTGGTGGCAGATGCAAGCCATGCATGTTATGGGATATGGTCTCTGGCCAACTGACAAAGGAGTCCAGTATATATGTGCCCAGAATGCATTAGGCAAAATCAAGTGACTTTGCATAATTTATTCCAATGTGCAACAAATGGGGAAGGAGGTTAGGGAGGAGTTAAAGACCACGGTTCATAGGAGGGAAAGAAGGGGAGAGGCGGAAGGTGACCTTTGGGGATTAGATGGGGCTGAAGGACAGCGAGGTGGAATGGGGTGAGCTCTGTGTTGGAGGCCCAGCCTCTAAGCAGCCTTGGCTGGCACTCCCCACCAGTTCACATTTAACCTGGATACCACGATCTCCGGTAAAAGAGACAGTGAACTTTTGACCGCACAATGGGTTAGACATGTTTGGCCCAGATTAGTACTTCCTCAGAGCCTGGAAGTCAAGCACTAAACGTAATGGCATTATCCGTAGTGAGTTTTTGTTTTAGTAACAAGCCCCAATGTCATTCTTGTTGACCATTCTGAGAAGGACGATGTCAGCACTATCAACTTCTGCATGCACAACATTTACTTATTGCTGGCAAGATTTTTGGAGAAGGATGCATTTGTGGTCATCTGGAGGTTAGTTTTGTTTTGAGAAACTGACAATGATGCGTCAAGACGACACCATGTTGCCGACCTTGTTACTCATTTAAAAAACAAGCAGCATGCTCCTGCTTTGTATGATGGCTCCAAGCTGTAGTTTCTATCTGTAACAAATCTGGGGCTCTTAATTATGCAATCCCTGTATCTGTGGGGCAAGTGTTTACATCTAACTAAATACGTAGTGTCTAGGCATTTTCTAGGTCCTCCAGTGTGACTCTATGCTATTCCTGGGCCAGAAATCCTTCATGTCAAAAAGGTCTGCTATTATCCCTAATTTTGCATATCCACATGAAGTCCAGGAATGCATCCCCTATGGATTTGGGGGTTGTACAATGAAACCAATAAAAGAGTATAACGATTTGGGTGCGTCTGCTGAAAAGGACAAGCTCCCAACAGGACTGGGGCCACCCTGGGAGCAAGTCACTGTTGCCCAGACCAGAGAAGGTAACATGAAGCCTTTAGAAAAGAAATAAGGTGAACACTCAAAGGCCAAGTTGGCCACTGTGGTGGTTTTTACTCACATTGGTACTGCCCTGGCTGGGCCTGGGGCCGGTAGACGGCTGGGAGTGGTGGCCCGTGGCTGGCTTGGGGGCAATTGGAACCTGAAAACAATAAGCACTTTACTCTTGGGACTCCATGGCTGGAGAGCTTTGGTTTGAGGACCAAGGAGGTGAAAAGAAACAAGTGACAGTGTGAGGAGAAGGGGAAGGCAGGAGAAAGAGAGAAGAAAAAGGTACCAGAGTGGGCACCAACCCAGCTCTCTGAAACCCAGATGGCCATGGAAGGGATGGGACAGGAAAGTTGAAGGCAAAGGGACAGTTTTTAGCACATAATGCTGGAGCATCACCAAGAATGTGTCTCTGCAAGTGGTTGGGTCTGCAGTGATTTTGCTGCAGTTACTGAGAGTATTAAAGAAATAGAGTCTACAGAGAAAAAAGAGAAGTGATTCTACCCACAAAGAAGTGTGGAAAGAAGCAAGTAGAAGCATGCTATATATTAAGAACTGCTCCCACCCTCCTCCCCACCCCAAAGAACCCCAACGTTACAGGTGCCCACCCCCTGAGGAATGCCTCCTCCACCCAAGGTGGTTCTATGGAGACTCAAGGTTTGCAGCTCACCAGCAAAGAGCAGCAAGCAGGTAGCAGAGCCTGGCAGGGTTTTGCCTACAAAGGCCCTGCTGACTGCTTCCAAATGATAGACCAGAACATTAACCCCCTGCCAACCCCACTCCAACTTCCAAGACAGAGAGAGAGATTCACCCAAAATGTCGCTGTCCCAAGATAACAACACACAGGACAACTCTTTGGAGGAGGCCAAGAGAAGGCAAGGGTTGTCTATGAAGCACACATCCATTTAACTCTACAAAAAGGAAGACCACCTGTAGCCTAAGGGTCAACCCACAACCTTGCCTTAAAGGAGACCTGCACCACGCATAGCACACAGGTTGCTTGGACCTGGCTCACTGTGAAGTCCCTCAAATGGTCCCGTTGGAGCAGGGGGCCCCAAACTAAGGCCCTGGGCCAGATGCAGCCCGCCAAGGTCATTTACCCACCCCCGCCCTAAGTCTGAAACAACTTGAAAGCAACACAACAACAATTCAAATTAACTTAACTCTCTCATCAGCCAACAGCAGGTCCATCCATATTTCCCACTGAAATACTGGCAAGTTTAGGTTGATTGAAATTGTTCTTCATTTTAAATATTGTTTAAATATTGTTTTCTTGCACTACAAATGCACTACAGTTTTTTTGCACTACAAATAAAATATGTGCAGTATGCATAGTATGCATGTGCAGTATGCTTTTTTCAAACTACAGTCCGGCCCTCCCCAGCCTGAGGGACCATGAACTGGTCCTCTGCTTAGAAAGTTTGAGAACCTCTGCATTAGAGAAACAATTGGGATGTGGCTCCTCTCCCTGACAGCCAGGCGGTCTTTTGAAGCAGCAGCTGCCTTGTTCACCCAAATACGAAATGTGCAACTAGTTGTGTGAGTCCCAAAGTGAGGCATCACCAAAGCAACTAGGAGTTAAGTGACAGCTCTGAAACACCACCAGCACCCCCGGCTCTGCTCAGCATCCTTCCTTGGTTACGGTCTTAATATCTAGAATTGAGTCTTTGGCTGATGTTCCACAATGGGATGTGCATGGCCCAAGTTTGCAACAATGCGGTAGTAAAACCACGGTTTAGTCCCACAAATTTCAGTGGCCACACGCTCATCTGTTTCCCACAGTGATAAAACTTCCTTCCATTGAGGTGCCTCCAATTATTTCCCCAAAAGCTCACTCCTACTACATAGGTTCAGTTTCAAACTGAGATAAATCTGATTCAGTATGCCTGGAAACGACATTATCTTTTACTAGGGAGAATCTCTCCCCACGGGGAAGGAAAAGAGCTGAACTGGTCTCCAACTGCATTGGCACCCAGCCATTATTACTAATGAATTTTACGCCATTGCCAAGAAAAACTGTCCGCGGCAGATGACCGGTTGCCAACAAGGGATCAGCCTGGGCCTGAGCTGTAACAAGGAAAGCTGCTGGAGGAGTTCACATTAATCACTATTCCCTCACATATATACCCTTGCAGAGAAAGTCAGCATCTCTTGGAGAAAAGGATTCCATCTGTATTATTATCCTTAATTAATTAATGAAAAGGTCCCTTGATAGGAAGAAAAATACAGATGAGATGCTGGCTTTCTATGGATGGGAGGAACACGAAGTAGTATGCAGCCTCACCCAGGGGCTCCAATGGCAAGAGCCAAAAAAAGGTGGAGTCCGAGTTGAACTGTTGTCCAAGGAGCAGCAGAAGACAGCTGTGGGTCTGCTCAACGAAGGATAGGCTTCCAATTGCCACTATGGGCTTCCCTCCATCAGCAGATGGAAGTTCCTTATGGTGCAGGCAAGTATGGGGCAAATGGACTGGACAAAGGTCATTGCCAGTAAAAAAAATTAGCACCCTTCTCTTCAGTCCCTGCAGCCTACCAGATTCCACAGAATTGAAATGTATTACAACCATTTGGGCCAAAATCATGTATAGAAACAAGATTATATACTAGTCTTTCTGAAACTCAATGGTAGTCACAAAATGGGAGTCCAAAGCAGAAGAGCTGTGGCTGACCATTCAAAAGAGACTCAGGCCAAGGAGACTCCAATAGAAGGGAGCTGTCATCCAGGACGAGTTTGAAGGAGTTCCTACATTACTTCTTCTTCTTCTAAAAGCTATTTGGCTATTCTGGCTGTTTCTGAGTGCTGTAGTCCTCCAAAAGTAAATTCCACAAGCTGTAGACTCAACCACGGGGTAAGTAACAAGAAGGACTCTACTGATATCCAGATCTTCATTCACCAACATGCTGATTTGTGGCATCTGCCTGGACTTACTCTGCAAAATAGGAATCTGACCCACCAGAGATGCCACTGCTCCTCGGGTTGAGAGGCTGCCAGGAAACAGACCTTTCTCCAGAATCCTTCTTGCTCTGCAGCCTAGTTATTCTTCTAGAAGAAACTGCCCCTGCCCTTCAAAGGACAGCTCTCTCCAGGATGCCCATTTCTCACAAAGCATCCAGCCATTATTACTAATGAATTTTATGCCATCTCTCTCCAGGATGCCCATTTCTCACAAAGCATCGCCGTTCCAACTGCTCCTAACTCTAGCTGCGTTCACCACTTCTCCTTCTTTTTCCTAAGTTGGGGTTGGAGTTCTCCCACTAAACACGTCAATGTATTGGAAGACAAGACACATAAACACGCACCCCACACATACACACCCCAGTCACAACTGAAACAAGTATAGGGAGTGAGTTAGTAGAAAGACAGCGGTCCAGAGCCCCTCATACTTACATTCCCACCTCCAGGGACATGCTTAATATTGTCCTTAGACCCACACTTGGACTGGACGTGGCTGTAGTTGGCTTTTTTGGAGACTATCTGGACCTGGAGCATCACAGAGATGGAGAAAACAACACAAGGGAAAAGGGCTGGTTAGAACTCTCTCAAGGGAGCAACAGGCAAGACACAGCAGGCAGACGGACAGGGAGACAAGAGAGTTGGTGTTAGAATGTCAACCTGCCTCCGAGGGATTACACGTGAACACACGCGGACAGGGTAAGGACAGAGAAAGAGAGAACAGAACGAAAGGGAAGCAAATGAACCAACGAGGCAGCAAAGCAGACAGTGGTGAGTAGCCAGAGCACTGAGCTATGCCCCTCGAGGACGTTCTGCTGCCTGCTCCCTATCGATACACCCACTTCCCCAGTGGAAAACATTTCTTTTCCTGGCTTGAAAAGCCCAGGAAAGAACAAACGCCTCACAGGTTGTCCTGGAATGGCTGGTATTCAGTCTGCTCTGGTTGACTTTGACTTGAATCAGAGTGGCTAGCTGCTTTCAATTGACAAAGAAAGAGCACACGTGTGGGGTGTCTTTAGACATTTGGGTATCCCAGATCTGTGCGACACGGTCCAGTTCAAACAGTCTTTCTTAGAGGTGTCTGCTAAAGGACCTTATTGAACCGGGCCAAGACCCAACCTTGTCCAACCTTCCTTCAGGTAGAGACAAACAAACCTGAAAGGGTCTCAGTTCACTTTTGCTTGCATAATGGACTACCTCCAAGGACACAACAGTGGAGATTAGATGCCTGACTGCCTCACTTCCATCCAGTTCTTGACTGCCCACTTCCAACTCCCACTACCCTCACAAGCAAAGAAACCCAGCTTTACTGAGGGAGCACTAGCCTTGTTGCATGACTTCCAACTGCACTTGAGAAAAGCTACTTTGAATAAGACACTGAAAGCTTCTGCTAGAACCAATTTGTTAGTTGTTACGACTCCTTGATGTGGTTGCATTTACAGCTACTCTATCTGGACTTTATATCTGGGTGCAGGGTTATAGCTCAGGGGTGTGTGCAAATAAGACCCCCTCCCCCATTTTCCTTCATTTCTCAAGCATTGCGGGGACTGAAGGAATACCTAGAACCCTTCCATTTGCACTTATGCTGCTCCACCTTCCCCTTTATTTGGAGACTTAAAATTCAGTTTCTAAATGCTGGACTGATATTTTAAGTTACTGCACTGCCAGAAATCTGGGAACTTGAGGAAAATTTCATTGTGTGGCAAGAATTCTTAATACCTTCATTTTGCGCCCCCCACTCCCCCATCCGGCCGCCCATGGGTCCTCAGGACTTCAGGATCTAGAGTGGGAGTGAACATTCCCAAGAGGAAAGGGAGGGGCAGCAAATCCATTCCAGGCTTTAACTCTGGCTTTAAAGGACTCCTCAGGGGACTGTCCCAATGTTGGGGGGCTCCTTCAAAGCCTGGTCTGGCGTGGGAGGCAACAGGGAGTTATAGCTCCTGCCACTGACTGGAATGAGCTTGGAGAGCATGGAGTGGGCAGGCCTGAAGCCCCCTTCCCAGTGATGAGGTGGGTAGGAGGTCAGAGCCACTGTTTTCCTCTACTGCTGCGTGTGTGGCAAAGGAAAGGATGTTCAGGAGAAATGAGCATCAAGTATGAAAGGGCTGTGCCCTCTAGTAACAATGCTACCCTTTTGCTTCCACACAGAGAGCCATATGTTGCCCCTCCCAGGGCATCCATCCGTAACCCATCACCCTCCTCTAGCAAACATACCCCCAAGGTAACCGGCCACGTGCTCTTTTGAAGCCAGCCACTTTAGAACCTGCGTGAAGCAGAGCGGAAAAGCCTTTGGACCAGCAGAGGCCAGTCTGTGGAGGAAGAGGGAGCCAGCCCATCCTGACAAGCCACCAAAGTTCAACGTAATTGGGGTCAGCTGCAATGCCAGGCAAGCTGGGGCATTGTGTTCCGGACTAGCTCCATCCAGCCCCAGAGCCCATTAAGGCCTCACAAAAAGGGCAGTGTTGGAAAGTCCGACGTGAACTGACAAAAAGCCAAGGCTGCCAACGAGAGGGAGGAACATTCTGGCCCTGGCAGTGCCAACGCAGAGCCACTAACTGGCCTTCAAAGCCTTTGAGAGGGTGTCTGGAAAAGGAGGAGCACTTCCAGGGGTAGAAGCTTTATTGACAACATGGGGTTCAAGTGGGGGGGGGGGGGAGAACTGCAAGCGAGCTGTCAGATAGGGAGGGCTCATTCGTGGCCATTTGGACACACCATCCAGTACAAGCAGGAAGATCAAGGGGGGCGGGGGGGCTCCTGGTAAATGACCAAGATTTTACTCTCCAAAACACTTGGCTTTGGCAAACTGGAGAGGGATTGAAAGCAGGATACTGGCAGGCTCTTCGTGTGGAAAATCATGTTTATCCCTCAGTGAAGTACCCCTGTCTCCATTCCCAGAGCTAAATACATGCCTTATCTGAATTATATCCCTTCAAATCCTCCAGTCTGTACAGCTGATGACCACGCTGTCCAAAAATAAAGAACTTTTTCAAGTTTCTCTGGAGAGTGAAGCTGGATGTTCTTAGAACAATGACCACCATTTCCCAGATGGGAAACAGAGTCCAAACAAATGGAATTCTGATTCTGTTGGACTCCCATTTGCCATCAGCCTTGGCCAACTTTGCCAGAGATGTCATTTTGTGGAAGGTCACAGCTCCCCTACTCTTTACCAAGACTATCTCTCACTTTCTTAGAGAAAACTGCAAGTCTCTTTACAGAGGTGTATATAGTCATAGTCCCAGGAATACAGCTCCAATGACACTGGTCTGCATATGGACATGGCCCGGCTGCCTTTTCCTTCTGTCACAACCCGGTTCTCAAGCATGTTGCATGACCAAGTGCCTCATAGGACATGGGAAAGAACTGGCATTCACAGGAATATCTGGCTGGGTTTGGAGTGACCTGGGGAATAGACTCCTTCCCAATGTGGATGGGAGAATAGGGACGAGTTATTGTGTGTGCCCACCATCCCTGTCCATCCATCCCCTCCAAAATCCATTCCGAAACAAAGCTCAGGTTGGGGGAGACCCCACTTCAAGGCTTGCTTAGAGAAAGACGAACAGCTTCACCGACAGCCAAGTGGGACACACAAGGAAGGGAAGTGTGTGCAAAGGAGGAGAGGGGGCAGGAGCCGTGCCAAGAGCGGGAAAATGCAGAGAGAGAGTTAAGAGAGAAGGAGGGAAGTGACCCAAACCAGCGGAGGGTGCGGTGGAGTGTGAAGATACAACAGAGCAGAGCAGAGGAGCCGGTCCTTTTCTCTCCCAAGTGATAGAAGTCTGAAAGAGAAACTCACTTTCCCATTGGGCTGCTTTGGGGCACCCTCTTTTGAAAGAGCTGTTTTAGTGGGAGCCGGCTTAGAGGCTGCATTGAGTTCAGGCTTTCGGGCAGCCCCGGCCGAGTCTGCCTTTCTCTCTACTTTGGCCTAAATGGAGACAAATGGAGGGTGACTTTCACATCATGAGAGGCTTAAAAAAATAAAGAAAGAAATGAACAGCAGCGGGAAGGGCAGGGAGACGTCAAAACAACAACCGGGGGAAGAGACGAGGGTTGGAGGAGACTGAGGTTGGAGGAGACCCAACTACGGACCAGCCCACTCACTCTACTCACAGTGGAAGACCTGGGTGCAAGCAAAACAGAGAGAACGACCTCCTGGCTTAGGGTTCAGCCTTCCTATATGACAAAAAGTGACACTGGGGCCACCCCAAAAGGCTACCAAGCCCAGCATCATGTGCTCATGTTGGCCACCCTCCCAGTCTGATGGTTCTCTACTTTTCACTGGTACAAGTGACAAGAATATGACTTGCGCCCCTGAACACTACAACTTTCTTCCTAGGGCTTCATAACCCAAGGTGATTGGGCCAAAGGTTTTGATCCAGGCATGCTCTTTGCCAGAGATGATAGGAATGACTCTTTGATTCTATGATTCTATTATTCATGTCCCATCGCTCCCCTCTTCAGCTGAAATCCAATCTTCCCTTCTGAAGCAACCCAGAGCACCTGCATCTTTGCTGGGTTTGAAGCTGGATCACTGATTGACTATCATCACCCAGGGATGAGATCTTATGCTTCTTCTTTTCAAAACCATGAACCCCAAAGCTTTTGTAAACACACTGGAACTCCTGCACTGCATTGCAACTCTGCATTTTATAGAATCATAGAATCAAAGAGTTGGAAGAGACCTCATGGGCCATCCAGTCCAACCCCATTCTGCCAAGAAGCAGGAATATTGCATTCAAATCACCCCTGACAGATGGCCATCCAGCCTCTGTTTCAAAGCTTCCAAAGAAGGAGACTCCACCACTCCGGGGCAGAGAGTTCCACTGCTGAAGGGCTCTCACAGTCAGGAAGTTCTTCTTCATGTTCAGATGGAATCTGAACATGTAGTTTGAAGCCATTGTTTCGTGTCCTAGTCTCCAGGGAAGCAGAAAACAAGCTTGCTCCCTCCTCCTCCCCGTGGCTTCCTCTCACATATTCATACATGGCTATCATAGCTCCTCTCAGCCTTCTCTTCTTCAGGCTAAACATGCCCAGCTCCTTAAGCCACTCCTCATAGGGCTTGTTCTCCAGACCCTTGATCATTTTAGTCGCCCTCCTCTTGACACATTCCAACTTGTCAATATCTCTCTTCAATTGTGGTGCCCAGAATTGGACACAATATTTTGCTATAATGGAATGAACCAGACTGCTTTCCTTGCTGCTAACAGAGAGATTCAAACGTGGTAACACAGGACAGAGTATGAAAAAACACCTGGATATCTGGCACTGAGAAGAGTTCAGTGCAAGGGATTGTTATTCCAGGAAAACTGAAAGCACCAACAAACTGCAGGGTAATCCCGCTAATATCTCAGTTGCCCTGGGGCAGAGCGCCAAGGCAAACACAACACGGCTGGAGCTGCTTTCTGCAAGCAAAAATCCCCACCGAAAGGAGAAGGAATGATTCCCGCCAGCCTTTGGTGCTGCTCAAGGCAGGCTGCCAAGTGGAGGGGCTACCAAGCGGGTTCTCCATACCCTTCATGGATGGGGCCCCTCTTCCCACCCCAACTGGAAGCCAGTATCATTTTTTGGAATTGCCCACGTCTGCAGAAGTGGAGTATGAATCATGGGCAACCTCAGATGTCAAGGGGTCTCTGCATGATTTGCACCCCTCTTGTAAAGGAAGACACATCAGATGAAGCATGGCATTGGTCCATCCCTCCCTCCATTGCTCCATTTACACACTGCTGCCCTTCCAAACTGGAACTCAAGAGAGTTCCTTCTTGTCCAAAACACTCAACCACACACAGCCTTCCTCAACTGGCTGCTTAGGAATACAACTCCCACCATTCCTTACCAATGCGGCAATTGTAGCTTAATGTTTCCGGAGAGCACTAGATTTGGAGAAGGCTGTCCCACAACCGTCTTGCAGGAAATAGCTCCAATCCATTACTCAAAAAGAACCCCCCCCCCCTTTTGAACCCCTGGGCTTGGCTTTTCCAGACCCAAAGTTATTCTGAGTTGTATAAAGAACAAAACCCAGCAAGTTGTGCACTTTTTACAAGCAGAACACTGTACACACCGTACAATGATTATGCCATGATTTCACCTTATGTGCACTGGCCGATGCCTGTGGAGCCCTAGGATTTGTAGTTTGCTGAGGCATTAGAGCTCTCTGGCCAAGGATTTGAAACACTTTGCCCTAAACCAGTGTTTTTCAAATTCTGGTTCTCCAGATGTTTTGCAATTCAGCTCCCAGAAATCCCAGCAAGCTTATCAGCTGTTGGGAATTGTGGGAGCTGAAGTCCAAAATATCTGGAGGAGCAGAGTTTGAAAAACACTGCTCTAAATGATCAATCCTAAGATTCCATGGGGGGTGGGAAACCATGGCAGCAACAGTGGAATCAGCCTGCTATATTCAGTGCGGAAGGAGCCCAGGAAGGGCATTTTCCAGCCACCCAAGTGAACGGTTGTCTGAAAAGAGGCACGTACCTTTCCTCCGCCCGGCTGGTACTTGATGTTATCCGTTGATCCAATCTTGGACCGGACGTTCTTCAGGTCAGGGGCGGAGATGCTGGTTGGGGGCCGCGGGGGTTTGGGAGCAGGGCTGGTTTTTGGTGCAGCAGCTTTGAATGTGGAGGCCTTCTTGGCATCAGCCGCGGCATTTGCCATCCCGGAGGCCTTGGGCACGGCTGGCTTGGCCTTGGGCCGGCTAGTGGCAGCAGCAGCAGCTCCGCCGGTAGCCAGGGAAGGAGCAGCAGAGGCCGGGGCGCTTTTCGGGCGGCTTAAGTCGGCTGCCAAAACGAAAAGAAAAGGAGGAGGAGGAAAGCAATGAGCAGGGGCCAATGGCAGCAGAGCAAACAGAACTAAAACTTCAGGATGCAAAAAAAAAAAAGGCATCTAAAAAGCGCAGCAGGGTGGGGTGTTACCTGAGGGTGATTTTGTGGTGGTCTTCTTGGCATCAGAGGGCTTTGCATCTGTCTTGGTAGCTGCATAATGTAAAGAGAACCTGATGAGCATCCATTCAGTGCCTTCCCAACCTGTGCCTTAAGAGGCCAGATCTAAGCAGTCTATTCTAGTAGGGCCTCAACCACCAAGAGATTGACCCACTTCTGCTGGTGCCCCCTTCTTTCAACCCTGGTGTTCTTGCAGATTTGGTATTGGTAGTGCTGTTTCTTTAAAAACATTTGTAAAAACAAGAATGGGCTTTCCCAGTCTCACAAAAGCCAGAAAAGCACAGTAATAGTAAATTAACATTCATTTGTCAGATATGGTCTCCAGAATTTGGGAGTTTACGTTTTTAGCAGGGCACAGCTCATGCAGATGTTGGCCTACTGAAACATCTGGTTGGAGACTGGAAAAGTTACTCCTCTGAACTACAGCTCCCAGAATCCCCAAGCAATATGGTCAGTGTATATGATATTGGTGTTTAACTCCAAAAAAAGGCAAGTTTCTAAGCTCTGCTTCTTTCCAGAAGCCTCTCTGTTCATTTCTAAGGCTAAGGTCAAAGCCTAAAAGAAACGAAAACCTCCAAAGCACCATCAGCCTCAACGCCAGCATGCTTTGTCTGGTGTGGCTTGGGCGAAGGAGCACTCACGGGAGGGTCTCTTGGGAGGGGAACTGGAGAGGCTCTGGGGGCCCAGCGCACTCTGACCTGAGAGGGCTGTTGATGGCCTGGGGGCGGCTGGGCTGCTTTTCGCATTCGGCCGAGGGGTTGTGGCAGACGGAGGCTTCGAAGGGGAGGTCCGTTTGTCCAGGCTTTTGACGTCTGTCCCCTAATAATGAAAAAGGAAAAAAGACAGAAGATCCATTTCAAAGAGAGAGCCTGGCCTCTATTGAGAAAGACGCCCTTAGCTTCTTGAGATGCCAGAAGGTGTGCTCTCCAGTTCAGCAACGTGGGTGGTTTCAACAGACCAAGTCTGCAAGGAGTCAACATCACAAAGGTTCCAGTATTTTCCAAAAAAGGTCCCGAATCCATTAGATTTTCGTCACCCACCAAATCTCACTCAACTGGAGGGTAATGGGTTGGAGAAGCGAGCTACATTTTATGGCTCTGCAGCATCTATGTGCCAGCCACTGGGCTATAGATGGTTGTGTGTTGGACAAGGAAACCCACGGGCTGAGCCAGGGCAAGTCACACTCACTCAGCCTCAGAGGAAAGCAATGGTAGCAAACCTCATAGAATCATAGAATCAAAGAGTTGGAAGAGACCTCATGGGCCATCCAGTCCAACCCCATTCTGCCAAGAAGCAGGAATATTGCATTCAGATCACCCCTGACAGAGGGCCATCCAGCCTCTGTTTAAAAGCTTCCAAAGAAGGAGCCTCCACCACACTCCGCAGAGAGTTCCACTGCTGAATGGCTCTCACAGTCAGGAAGTTCTTCCTCATGTTCAGATGGAATCTCCTCTCTTGTAGTTTGAAGCCATTGTACCGCGTCCTAGTCTCCAGGGAAGCAGAAAAGCTTGCTCCCTCCTCCCTGTGGCTTCCTCTCACATATTTATACATGGCTATCATATCTCCTCTCAGCTTCTCTTCTTCAGGCTAAACATGCCCAGCTCCTTAAGCCGCTCCTCATAGGGCTTGTTCTCCAGACCCTTGATCATTTGAGTCGCCCTCCTCTGGACACATTCCAGCTTGTCAACATCCCTCTGAGCAAGATTGACCAGGTAAACCCTATGAAAGTGGAACTCAGCAGTGGAACTCTCTGCCCCGAAGTGTGGTGGAGGCTCCTTCTTTGGAAGGCTGGATGGCCATCTGTCAGGGGTGATTTGAATGCAATATTCCTGCTTCTTGGCAGAGGGTTGGACTGGATGGCCCATGAGGTCTCTTCCCACTCTTTGATTCTATGATTCTATGAAAGGGTCACCATAAGTGTGAGTCAATTTGAAGGGAGAGTCAGGATGGTGTTATGGTTTGAGTAAATATGATTTAATTCATCACTCAGCCATGAAAACCCACTTGGAAGTCATGGTCTCCCGAGCTCAGAGAAGGCCCTGTGAACAAATCTTGCCAAGAAACCCCTGTGATAAGTTGATATTTCTGTCAGAATGACTTGAAGTCACGCTGTAACCACATCTATGTGACATTGTGCCACCAGCCACAGTATGCTGTCAGGGGTTGTGTCAATGCTTATGCTCACCTTATGCAAGACGTCTCCCTATTTCGGTTGCCAAGCAGCGCCCTGTTCAGAAGGTGGCTCCAAGAGAACCCCATCCCCAAGACAAGAGATAGCCAAGAGGTGCCATCAAGACCCAAAATGCCCGATTTCTCATTTTTGAGTTGCATGGCTCTGTTCCTTTAGGTCCAGGAGCTCTCTGTTCCCCCACCTCATCCGTGCCCCCACCTCCTCAGCATCATCTGCCAAGAGGAAGCCCTTTAATTACAGGCAGAAAGAGAAAATGGCTCAGCGGGCTTCGATGGCGCTTGTCCGAGACCATCTGGGCCCTGAGCAAGGGCTGATCCATCGAGGAACAGCTGACGCAGCAGCCCAAGGAGCCAAGGGGGGACATCTCTTTCCAGGAAGGATGGGCGAAGGAGGGGTGGCTGTGCTTCAGGGATGGATACCTTCCAAGCAAGAAAAGGGTGACTACGCTTACAACAGTCTGGAAGGAACTGAAAACCCGGCTTCACAAACAGGATTTTGATAATGGTTAAACATAATAATACATGACAGTTGGAAGACTTCAATGGAATTCTTAGCTGGGCTTCATTGGTTCCATCAACCAGAGCGGTGGCTGAGAGATTTTAATTGCTTTTATAAAATACAAACCCTGTTTATTTATGGAAGATGGTAGTAATAATGTGTTTAGGATCAATTTGAATTCGATTTGTGTTGTTACTTTTGTTGATTTAATTTAGATTGGTTATTTGTTTTATTATTTTTCATTGCTGTATTAGTCACATTGCTGTAAGCCACTCCAAGTCCCCTCAGGGTGATGGGGTGGGATATAAATAAAGTATTATTATTATTATTATTATTATTATTATTATTATTATTATTATTTACTTGACAGGCCTCCTTCCCACCCAGAACCAATAAAATCCAACACTGATGGCAAAGGAGCCACAGTTAGGAGTGCTGGCATCTCTAGAGATTCAAAAAGCAGTTCTTGGAGTAGACTCAAGAATGCCTGTTTCGTTTACACACACCCAAAGCCGATTCACAGAAGTGTCAGGATTTTGACAAGCAAAGCCCAGTAACTATGGAAACTGGAGCCCAGTTGAAGTTTCTTACCGAAAGGGCAGCGTTTCCAGCAAATTAAGAGCAGAAGTGGTTTCTGCTTCGAGATGCTCCGCTCCTCTCGCTCTCGTTTTGGTCTTTAAAATGAAGGCACACAAACCATCCTCAAGCCACAAGCAGAACCTTTGCCAGCCCACAGGCACACTGACCACTAAAAGCCAAGACCAAATATAATTTCACTACAAACCAACACAACCTTCTCAAAGGGCAGTCACACACTGGCTCTGCCCTTAGCCAGGTGGGCCTGGGTGTATTCCCCAGCTATCAGCCTTCAACCAAGGCAGAGACATCTCCAGCTCATCCCCTGTTTGGATATCAGCCAGCACGCCAACAACTTAAATCTAGAAATAGTTTTCTAAGATCTACAGGACACTCGCTGGAACACCTCAGCAAGCGAGAGTCCAAAAGTGGCAGGCTCAAACCCAGAACCTCAACCAATGGCTGATGATACCAAATGAGAGACTCCCCCCAGGGCACACAGAGGACTGGGTGACTTGGAAGGCGCTGAACAGACACCACGAGATGCAGAGCCAACCTTGAGAAATGGGGCTACAAAGTGGAATCCTCGACATGCGAGTGTGGAGAAGAGCAAACCCCTGACCACCTGCTGCAATGCACCCTGAGCCCTGCCACATGCACAAGGGAGGACCTTCTTGCAGCAACACCAGAAGCACTCCAAGTGGCCCGATACTGGTCAAAGGACATTTAATCAACTACCAAACTTGCAAATTTTGTATTTTGGCTATTTGTTTGTTTTGTTCTGTTAGAAATGTAATACAATTGACTGGTTGCCCTGACACGACAAATAAATAAGCCTTCAACCATCCCCCTGCCTTCACTGCCCAAGGACAGGCTTGTGGGTGACCACTGCGCCTTCAGATCCAGCCGCTCCACCCTTTCCTCCTCTGAGACCACTCTGTCCTCACTGAACCTGGAGCTGTCTTCACTGATCAGCCACTGAGCATCCACCCTAGTCTGCTCCCACCAACTGCTCCTTAAAGCCTACTTTTGCCACAAGCCCTCCTGACACAAGCTCACCCCTGTAACTGGAGTGGTCCAACCACAAAGAACTTAGGGCTCTTATTTTTCAGTTACGACTCCCATAATCCCTCAGCCAACATAGCCAGTAATGAGGTTGGCCTGCTCTCCAGAGCTGTAGTCCAATCCTAACACCATTCTGAGATGGTCTATTCCAGTGGTTCTCAACCTGTGGGTCCCCAGATGTTTTGGCCTTCAACTCCCAGAAATCCTAACAGCTAGTGAACTGGCTGGGATTTCTGGGAGTTGTAGGCCAAAACATCTGGGGACCCACAGGTTGAGAACCACTGGTCTATTTATTTATTTATTTATTTACTTCTTTTGTATACCGCAAATATCAGCCTAAAAAGGCGACTCGAAGCGGTTCTATTCTTAGAAAAGGCCGCCATGTGCTTGCCTTGGATGCTCTGAGTGCTTCCAAAGGAAGCGATGAGCAGAAGTCCTTCCAGAAAGACAAAGCCATGGCCCTTTTCGCCGGGGAGATGGCCATGGGATAAGTGTGGTTAACTGAGGAATGGAAAGATGATTTGAAACTGAGAATACTGGAGAAATGAGAAGCTTTGCAAGACTTTTTTTCTCTGTTGGAACTAGGAAAAAAGCTTTTTCCACACAGAATTTTATTTGAGAACACAGATATGCTGGACCACACCAACAACCACCATGCCAGACTACACAGAGAAGCCACTGAAATCCACAAGCATGTGGACAATTTCAACAGAAAGGAGGAAACTATGAAAATGAACAAAATCTGGCTACCAGTATTAAAAAACTCTAAAATTGCAACAGCACAACAACAGAGAGGAAGCAGGCAGGGGCATATAATCACCTCTCAACAAAAATTTGCTCCAGGCACAGTCAGCCCATTGTATGCTAATCAAGGTGGTCAGTTGGAACATTCACACCTAGCTCTAGCAGACAAGAGTCCTTTGTCTCACCCAGGTCATTCCACAGATATATAAACTCTTTTTTCCTAGTTCCAACAGACCTCACTAGCTCTGAGGATGCTTGCCATAGATGCAGGCGAAACGTCAGGAGAGACTGCCTCTAGACCAGGGGTCCTCAAACTTTTTAAACAGAGGTCCAGGTCACAGTCTCTCAATGTGTTGGAGGGCCGGATTATAATTTTAAAAAACCATGAATGAATTCCTATGCACATTGCACATATCTTATTTGTAGTGCAAAAACACTTAAAATAATACAATAATTAAATGAAGAACAATTTCAACAAATATAAACTTATTAGTATTTCAATGGGAAGTGTGGGCCTGCTTTTGGCTGATGAGATAGGATTGTTGTTGTTGTATGTTTTCAAGTCATTTCAGACTTAGGTTGATCCTGAGCGAGGGCCGGGTAAATGACCTCGGAGGGCTGTATCCAGCCCTCAGGCCTTAGTTTGAGGACCCCTGCTCTAGACCATGGCCATACAGCCCGAAAAAACCTACAACAACCCAATATTTTCTGTGTTGAAAGGCTGTTTCCCATGAAGAGCACAATTATTTTCTGTCCAGAACAGAACATGTGAGATTTCTTTGTAAAGATTACACCCAAACTGCAAATACACCTCCCAAATTGTGCAGGTTTCAAGGCCATTCCCATAACAGGGAAGTAAAAGGCAGAGAAATGACAGAGATATCCATCCAAACCATTGTGACCAGTCACACAACCACCAAAGCCTTCCAAGAGTCAAGTCCATCCCTGCTCCTTACCTTTGGCTTGGAGTCCTTGGGAGTTAAGGTGGAGGGTCGTGCTGCACTGGTTGCGGGGCGCTTAGGGGCGGCAGCGGTGGCAGGGCTTGCGGCTGGGCCGGCAGTGGGGCTGGTGGCCTTTTTGTTTGGGCCGGGCGTAGCGGAGGCCGGCCGCTTGGTGCCAGGGGTGGCGGTGGCGGCGGGCTTGGCTTTTGCCGCGGCAGCAGGCTTGGCTGCCGGAGTGGAGGCTGGAGTCTTTGGGTCAAAACGGACATGGACACACGCAAGCAAAACAAAAGAACACACACAACACACACGTGGAACAAAAAGAAAAAAAAGCGCATTGTGAACAAAATACTTGGCAGCAAAAATGAGTGCAAAATAAGAAATCAATCCAGAGAGAAAATAAAATTGCCAGTGTTCAGTTCTCTGAGTGTAAGAAAAGCAATTGATGTGTTGAGAGAATTAAAGAGGACTAGTTTGGTGGTTTAGGGCCAAATCTGCTCTACATGTCACTTGGAAAGTGTCAGCGTTCCTTACAAAGCTACTCCCAAGAGTAGGACCCAATACAGCAACAAATTCAAGAGAGACTACACCTTAACACTAGATAGACCCTCCTGAGGGTAAGAGCTGTTCAACAGGGGAACATGCTGCTTCCTGAAAGTCCAGTGGAGTCAACTCCTTTGGAGGTTTTTAAACTGGCTGGATGGACAGAGAATCATAGAATCAAAGAGTTGGAAGAGACCTCATGGGCCATCCAGTCCAACCCCCTTCTGCCAAGAAGCAGGAATATTGCATTCAAATCACCCCATCCAGCCTCTGTTTAAAAGCTTCCAAAGAAGGAGCCTCCACCACACTCCAGGGCAGAGAGTTCCACTGCTAAACAGCTCTCACAGTCAGGAAGTTCTTCCTCATGTTCAGATGGAATCTCCTCTCTTGTAGTTTGAAGCCATTGTTCCATTGCATCCAAGTCTCCAGGGAAGCAGAAAACAAGCTTGCTCCCTCCTCCCTGAGGCTTCCTCTCACATATTTATACATGGCTCTCCTATCTCCTCTTGGCCTTCTCTTCTTCAGGCTAAACATGCCCTGCTCCTTAAGCTGCTCCTCATAGGGTTTGTTCTCCAGACCCTTGGTCATTTTAGTCTCCCTCCTCTGGACACATTCCAGCTTGTCAACATCTCCCTTCAATTGTGGTGCCCAGAATTGGACACAGTATTCTAGGTGTGGCCTAACCAAGGCAGAATAGAGCATGGGGAGCATGACTTCCCTAGATCTACACACTAGGCTCCTCTTGATGCAGGACAAAATCCCATTGGCTTTTTTTTGCCACCACATCATATTGTTGGCTCATGTTTAACTTCCTGTCCATAAGGACTCCAAGATCTTTTTCACACGTCCTGCTCTCAAGCCAGGCATTGTCCCCCATTCTGTCTCTGCATTTCATTTTTTCTGCCAAAGTGGAGTATCTTGCATTTGTCCCTGTTGAACTTCATTTTGTTAGTTTTGGCCCATCTCTCTAATCTGTCAAGATCATTTTGAATCCTGCTCCTGTCCTCTGGAGTATTGGCTATCCCTCCCAATCAGGAAAGCTTTGATGGTGTCATCCTGCATGGCAGAAGGGGGGGTGGACTATGCCCCCCCCTTTTGTGTCTGTCAGCTCAGAGAAGAGAACTTATCATTGGCTTAAGATGGGAAAAAAGAAGCAGCAGGCGGCAGTGGGCACCAAATCCTACACCTGGCTGGGAGGGAGATGGAGGTGTCTCACCTTGGCCTTCTTGTCGGGGCTCGGAGGGAGCTCCTTGCTGGGCGGGGCAGTCACGTCATTTGCGGTGGCAACCTCCGTGGCCGGCTTCACCTCTTCTGGTTTGGCTGCCCAAAGCAAAAAAAGAGGGGAAATGGGCTTAGATTTCAGGCGTCACAACACGATTTTTGCAGCATGTGCACAACAACGTGAGAAGGAGAGGCGGAAGGCAGGCAGAGCTCAAAGAGCACAACAAAGTCAATGCTATTTGTTTTACATGTATGGATTTTCAAAGCAATTGTTAGATGTTCCGTGCCCCAATCCTGAGGAAAAAGCAGGCTATAGATAAACAATCAGGAGGAACAGTGCTCATTTCACCACCACCAAAGTGAGAGGAAACTTCTACATGCTGGTTGTACAGTTTTTAACTTCTCTTTTAGGAAGCAAACTCTCCTGTTCACCTCAGTTTAGAAACAGTGGTGCATCCACATTGTTTGCTCCCGTCTCTCTGTCTCACATTTTCAGCCACAGAAGTGCAAATATAAGCCTTTCTTCTTTCTCCCTTCCATATAAGCAGCAGAGCAAGAAGAACAGTGGTTGAAGTGCTAGACTAGGACTCCCAGTGGCCTTGGGTAACACTCTCTCAGCCTCAGAGGAAGGCAATGCCAATGCCCTCTGAACTAATCTTTTGGGGAACCAGCACAAATGGGGTTGATTTCTTATTGGGACCATTGCTCTGAGTGGATTACAATCTCAGCTCAGATACGTCAACTCACTTGGGGGACCTTGGGCATGTCCCATCCCCTCTTGCCAAGAAAACCCTATGACAGTGTCACCATATCTTGGAGCTGACATGGCATGGCGGCTGGAGGGTGAGACCGGGCCCCTGGGAGACGCTTGAATCCCCCACCCAGTGGGTGGGGGATTCAAGCGTCTCCCAGGGGCCCGGTCTCACACTCCAGCCGCCATGCCATGTCAGCTCCAAGATGGGAAAGCCTCAGAGGAAGGCAACGGTGGCAAACCTTCTCCAAATAAAGCTTGCCAAAAAAAATGTATGAAAAGGTTGCCGTAAGTCAGACTTGACCTGAAGGTACACAAGAAAAAGCCGAACAGGTGATAACGCAGTGCAATAAGTTATGTGTATATTTGCCAAAAAGCATAAGGCAGGCGCAGGAGGGGTAGCAATTTCTGGCAACCTCCATTCCAAGGCTCATGGGACTCAGAGGTCTCCATTCTCTGCAACTCTCATCTATCTAATGCAAAGCTAAACATTATAAGATTTGCAATCAGTCAGAATGTGTTGCCGAATGACCAACACATCAAGGCTCTGGGTATATGTATCAGCACTGAATACACTGATGTGCCGTATTTCCTTCTTCATTTCTGAAAAGAAACCGGAGGCACAAAACAACCAACTGGTTCAGGATTTGGGAAAGGAGCACAGAAGGGCTGGATACTCTCACCCTCCGTATTCAACTGATATGCAGAACACATCATGCGATATGCAGGGCTCAACAAATCCAAGGCTGGAGTTAAAGTTACTGAAAGAAACTTGAACAGCCTTAGATATACAGATGATACCACTTTGATGGCCGAAAAGCAAAGGGGGGGGGGGGTGAAGACTTTCTAACAAAGGTGAAAAAAGAAAGGGCAAAAGCTGGGTTGCAGTTCAACATAAAAAAAACCAAGACTATGGCAACCAGACTGATTGAGAACTGGCAAATAGAGGGAGAAAAAGTGGAGACAGGGACAGATTCTGTATTTCTAAGCCTGAAGATTACTGCAAATGCAGACTGCAGCCAGGAAATCAGAAGATGCTTCCTTCTTGGGAGGAGAGCAAGGACCAATCTCGATAAAACAGTGAAGAGTAGAGACATCACACTGGCAACGAAGATCCGCATAGTCAAAGCCATGGTATTCCCTCACTACCTCTGAGGATGCCTGCCATAGATGCAGGCGAAACGTCAGGAGAGAATGCCTCTAGACCATGGCCATATAGCCCGAAAAAACCTACAACAACCCAATGGTATTCCCTGTCATAACCTATGGATGAGAGAGCTAGACCATAAGGAAGGCTGAGTGAAGGAAGAGAGATGCTTTTGAACTGTGGTGCTGGCAGAAAGTTCTGAGAGTGCCTTGGACTGCAAGAAGATCCAACCAGTCCATACTTCAGGAAATAAAGCCCAACTGCTTACTGGAGGGAAGGAGAGTAGAGGCAAAGATGAAGTCCTTTGGCCACATAATGAGAAGACAGGGAAGCTTAGAGAAGACAACGATGCTGGGAAAATGGAAGGAAAAAGGTAGAGGAGCCGACCAAGGGCAAGACAGATGGATGCATCCTTGAAGTGACTGGCTTGATTTTGAAGGAGCTGGGGGTGGCCACAGCCAATAGGGAGCTCTGGCCTGGGCTGGTCCAGGAGGGCACTAAGAGGCTGAAGCGACTGAACAAATACACAACAATAACAAAAAAGTGAGTTCTTTTCACAGATACCACTGTGCAACTTGAGGTGTGACTCACTTTCTTTTGCAGACTGCACTGGATGCTTCCCCATGCTCTCCTCTTTCCAAGTTCTCCTCTTTAGTTATTCATTTTCCCCGGGCAGAAGGGCAATACAATTTGATCTGTCATAAGGATGGATTTCACGCCCTGGAAAAAGAAACCCCTCCGAGGCTGCTCCGCTCTAGGCCCCTCTGGCCAGATGAAAATCACAGCCAGCTCCGCCAGGCTCCAGGGACCGTCTCTTCGCTAGCAGTGGTCCATCTCCATCCAAGTTCAAGGGCAGACAGAGGGATGGGAGGACATGCCGGCACAAACCCCCTTCCAGCTCCCAGGCACCACCTTGGCTGCAACAGCAATCGATGGGCTCTCCAGCCAGCTCAGCAGCTACGCAGGCCGGCAATGGCTATAGAGGTCGCTACAAAATGGGGTCTATTCCAGGACTGGCCACGGTCTCAGGGACTATTCGGACACAGCTATGGGAAGTGGGGCAAGAGCGCTGTCCTCCAAATGATGATTCAGACCCCAATTTAGAACATTGCCATAACTTAAAATGCCAGTTTTGAGAAAGAGACAGTTGAGGCATCCAAAGAAGAAGGGCAAAGAGCAATGCAAACTCTGGAACATGAGCTCAGAAAACGGAAGAGCTCCAGCTGTGGATGGTTTCAAATGCCTCACTCTCTGCAATGATAGGCTTTTAGTGGTAAAAGGGGAATTCCATGTGTGGGGCAGAGTTCTTATGGAGGGTGCCCTCATGTTGCCCTCCCTACACTACCTCTCTGGGAAGCACTGTCTAATTCAAGACAGCAACCCACTGAAGAAGCCTTTTCCCGAGCAGGACGTTGACTTCAAAGTCATTCCCTGTTGAAAACATGCTCTTTTGTTGGCTCCCAATGGGCCAGTGGACCCACAAAACATAAAGTAAGTCAAGACCAAGGTGAGATAGGCAATCTCCACCCCTGCCCTACATCCAACACCAAGGTGCCAAAGATTCTGCGGTGTGGATGCTACAACCTGTGAAGGTGCAGCAACCAGGAGTCATGGTGACCTGGTCTCAATGAAGTGACCAGGAGGGTGTCCTGCCTCACCCCAGCGGTCCTTGCAACCCAGCCGGGCCACTGCATCGCTCCAGGAGGTCATGTTATTCCAGCGTAACTTCAACATGAACCAGACGGGAGGCAGTGGCATCTATTTCCAGATTAATTATCGATTACTGCTCGCGCGAAAGCCATTCTCATTTTGGACAGGGGAGGAAAAAGCTTTCTGAGGAGGGGGGTGACAGCAATGTCCCTACCATGTCCTCTCTCAGCCACTCAGACCCCAGGATGGCCGAGGGAGCAAGATTCCTCCTCTCCCTCCATCTCCCACCTCCTGTCCATTTCATTAACCACCCATTCTGCTCACCAGCAAACATTTGCTCTCGTTCTCCAGCATTTAATTACAAGGCTGTCCTCTTTCAGAGCACTCACGCATGAAGATCTGCTTTCCCTGACTTCCAGGGATTACAGAGTGCTGGTGCTGGTGCTGCCAAACCTCGGGTGGTTTCTTCATTAATTAGTTCATAAAGACCGGTGTAGGGGAATTTTGCAGGCCTTGTTATTGCTCTCCAATAGGTGTTTCAAGGACATCTTTTTAAAAATGGGAAACATACAAATGCACATGTGGATGTCCCCCTCCCTCTGCGCTCAATCCTGGATTATCTCAACCGATCTGTTCAGCTGACCCAGTAGAGCCAGCACTAGATAAACCCAGGACCAGTTGGATTCATAACTCTATTAATATTCCTAATCTGCCTGTCAATCCAAAAGGACAAACACGTGTGACAGAGGCAGGCCCTCCTGAAACAGGCTCAGTACTCCTCATCCAGAATTCCAAAATTCAAAGTATCCCAAAATTGTCCAGCTAAGTGATTAAGAGAATGACATTTTTGCATTCTGATAATTCAACCTATACATGCCTTGTTTTGTACACAAAATCATTAACAATATCATGCTTACAATTTCATACACCAACAGATTTTGTGTTTAGACTTTGGTCCCATCTCCAAGATATCCCATTATATCTCTCTAAATATTCCAAATCTGAAATCCAAAACACTTCCAGTCCCAAACATTTAAAGGAGACACAGGTTGCACTTGTAAAATGCTGTGGCAACCATTTATTTTAAGTTCAAGGATTGGAAATTGCCTCGTTTTTCACAAAGAGTCATGCACATGTCTACTCTGCGCCCTTTGCAGAGGATTTCTTTTGTCCATATGAAACAACACAACATGTCCAGAAAGATGAACTGTTCTAGACCTAAACCAAGAGAGCCACCAGACAGTTGATGATGCCATGTACAAAAAAGTACAAAAGCAGAAGAGAAGGAAGATGGGAACAACCGGATGGGTTTGCAACCAGCTCGGTTTAGCACCAAGAAAGGGATGACAATGTAAGGGATGAGAGAAATGTACGCATGCAGAAGAAACATTGGACAAGGAGTGGTCTTTCAGCTATACCCACTGAAGGCAACAGAAGAAGCAGAAAAGTTAAGTAAGTTTTGCATTACAAAATCTTTAACAATTCATTTTAAGAGAGGCTCAGCAATTAATAAACTAGGGAAGCCGGAGACTTGTCTTTGCTGGAAAAGGA